GTTTCCGGTCGCCGTTTTTTTGCCGTTTCCATTTTCAAGGGGCACTTTTTTCGGAAACGGTGAAACAACGGCCCTGCCGTTTCCGGGCCCCAGTAAGCTCTGGAGGCTGCGGGGGCCTTCTTGGAACGCCTGGGGGTGCAGGGGCAGTTCTAGCCACCCCCGGGGGGGGAGGTGAGGGGAGGGGAGGGGAGGCGGCAGCGGTTCTCCCACTTGCTCTCGTCTTCTGGGGGACGATCCGCGGAGAGAAAGCATGTTGCCGAAAAAATTCCAGATGTCTGGAAGATGCGTTAAAATTGCTTCAAACATTTGAAACACATGTTTTAAACATTTTGAGGGCATTTCTCCGACGTTTCAAACACATGTTTAATTCGATGATAGCTCTGTTAGTGTGTCCATTGTCGTGGCATCCGCAACTCTCGTCGTGAGAAAAAATCGCACCGGGGGGGGGGGGGGGGGGCCGTTTTCGGCCTCGGGCCCTCGCCGGGCCTCGGGACCGTCCAGACACGGCCCTGGATGAAAAGCTGGTTTCCGGGAAGGGGTCCGGACCTCTGGGGGTCGACGTGAGGATTGGAGGGTGAGGAGGGTGGAGGAGCGGGAGGGAGGAAGCGAGGAGGTAGGAAAGGTTCTGGGAGGAAGAGGCGCCGATACCGCTGCCCTTCCCTTGCCGCCACGGCCCGATTCGCTTCGAGATTCTGGTCAGAGTGCACTTCTGGAGAGGTCCAGGGAATTGCAGTCTCGTTACCTTTTTGCCACCCGGTGCCCTGCGTCCTCTGCTCTCGCTCTCCCCTCCTCTCCCCTCGCCCGCCGCCCCTGCTCTCTCCCGCCCCTGTGTTCCTCCTCCTCCTCCTCCTGTTCCTCCTCCTCCTCCTCCTCCTCATCCTCCTCCTCATCCTCCTCCTCCTCCCCCTCCTCCTCCTCCTCCCCCTCCTCCTCCTCCTAACATTGTCGTCGCTTCCGCAAAAAAGAATTTTTGACGTCGAGCGATCCCCACCTAAACCTTCTGCGCTTGTTCCCCACGGTGCGCGCGCCTGCTGGGACGATGTGCGAGGGGCCCGCTCGTTGCCGCGCTTGTCTGTTCCTGGGGCCAGGCGCGGATACCGTGTTTGACAGTGCGCCCTTAATCTGTCGCTGCTGTATTTGACAGTGTTCAATGATGTCATGCTCGATAAGGTCCTACAGTGGAAGCGCGCATCAAGAAACCATCTGCTTTTGGTCAGGGTATCCTGGGTTTCTTCGCACGCTGCGCGGTGACTTCCCGCAGCCGTCGAAGAAGCTGCTGCGTTCAGGGTGCTCCCGGTTCCCCCTCAGGCGCACTTCTTGCGAGGGTTTCTTGCGGCCGCGCCCGCACTGCATTCTGCTATAACGGCCGCCTCCACAGCGGACACCGTGTGAGGCGTCCCTGGCCCTGCCTAGCGCCCCCCCGCGCCCATGCTGGACAGCAGTGACACCCCCCGCACCCTTCCGCCAGCGTTAAGTCGGGCCTGCTCCTCTACAGGAGGAACATCAAAGAATTGTCAAAAATAGTATGGGGACGATTTGTGTATACAAATGTATTGATTATTGTTGTGCATTTGTTGGGCGTATTTTTTAATTTGTCGCCCGACATCATGCCCGACCTAACGCCAGCGTCGTGCTGGCGGCTCCACACCCCGCGCGCGCCGTCAGGTCCTTCCCCGGCGGGGCGGTGGGTGATCCGACAAAAGGTCTCGCCCCACCGAGCCGCAGCGCGGCGGGTTCGGTCGGCCCCGCGCGGCGCCCCTGACGACCAGCACGGCCGTTCCCGACGGCTGCAAGCGACGACCCCCCCGACGCCCACCGCCCACTCCGCCGCTACGCCCGCGACGCCTGCTCGGCGTCGCGCCGCAGGCGCCGTAGGGTCCGCAGCCTCCTCGCGCACGGCCTGCCTCCCCGGGCCCCTGGCGCTGCCCGTCTGCTGGCGCTTGCCTCTCCTCCTGCCCCCTGCTCTTGGCATCGCTCGGACGTGTGCATTTTGTCTTCGGCGAGGACCCCCGAGGAGCATCCTTGATCATAAACCACACACGACACCGAAAAAACACACAGGGAATGGACGTCCGAGCGATGGCGAGCTGGTCGGCGTCGCGCCGTGGATGCCGTGGGGTCCGCAGCCTCCTCGCGAACGGCTCGTCTCTCCCGGCCCCTGGCGCAGCCCGTCTGCTGGCGTTTGTCCTCCCTCGATCCCAAGCTTCGTCTAGCGCCTTCCTGCTTCAGGCTCGATCTGGTCTTGCTGCGTTCTGTCGTTCTCGGGTAGGGCCTGGTCCCAACCTGTTGCATCCGCCTTCCCACTTCATGTTGTTACCTACTTCTTCCGACCGACGTGTACAGCAGTCGCACATCATTCGATGGCGTCAGAAAGCACTGGAGCCCCGAGGACCCTCTCGGCCCTCCGAGAGCCTCTCAGAGCCTCCTGGGACCTCGAGAGACAGCATCCTGCTTTTCCCCCCTCGCCCCTCCGAGCCCCCTTGAGGCCTCCTTCCTTGCACCCCCCCCATTCCCCCCTCTGCCGCTCCGGAGCGGGTCGCGCGTGGGCCGACAGGGGCAACATCGAAACATGTGGATGGTGCTGCTGATGGCGATCGTTTTCTTGTTCACTGTTTTGACGATCGGCGCGGGCCCGCGCACCCCTCCCTTGTCCCCCCCTGAGGTTGTGGAGGGCGATCAATGGAGAGGAAGCGTGCTGCCAAATAATTTCCAGATGTCCCAAAAATGTGTTAAAACGGTTTTAAGCATGTAAAAAACATGTTTCAAACATGTCCAGGACATTTTTCCACATTGTAAACGCCTTTTTGATTCGATGATAGGTCTGTTAGGGTGTCCATTGCCGTGGCATCTACAACCCTAAGGAGTAGATCCTGGCTGTTTTTTGGCTCCTGCCTCGCGCAGGTGGGGCCTCCCCTGCAGGACGCACTGCTGCAAGCAGTCGCACGAAGCAGAGGTCCGGATCCTCCTCCTCCTCCTCCTCCTCCTCCTCCTCTCCTCCTCCTCCTGTCTCCTCCTCCTCCCCCCTCCCCGCCCTCTTCGCTCAACTTGGCACCGCTCGGACGTGTGCGTTTGTTCCCGGCGAGAACCATCGAGGACCACCCTGGACCACCATCGAGCAACAAAAGGCACGCACGAGGCCGAACAAAAATGCACGGGAAATGGACGTCCGAGCGACGGCAAGTCCGTGTCGAAACGCCGAATCTTGAACACGCTCCCTTACCGATAGGGGGTGCGAGGGGCAACAGGAGGCCCCCCGAGGAGGAGGAGGAGGAGGAGGAGGAGGAGGAGGAGGAGGAGGAGGAGGAGGAGGAGGAGGAGGAGGAGGAGGAGAAGGAGGAGGAGGAGGAAGGCGAGGATGAGGAGGAGGAGTGTGAAGAGGAGGAGGAGGAGGAGGAGGAGGAGGAGGAGGAGGAGGAGGAGGAGGAGGAGGAGGAGGAGGAGGAGGAGGAGGAGCCCTTGCCCTTCCAGCAGCGTGGGCCCTCCGCGGCGGAGGCCGGCGAGCGCGCCGTGCGCGAGCTCGAGGACCGCCTCCGGGCCGAGCAGGAGCAGGCCGGCCGCGAGCGCCACGAGCTCCGCGAGCGGCTCTCCGCCCTCGGCACGGACGCCGCCCCGCCGCGGGGCCCGCCCCGCCCTCAGGGGGGGAGAGAGCATCGGCTTCGCCTCGGACGAGGCCCGGGAGAAAGCATCGCCCCCCCCCCCCCCCCCAGTACCTTCACGTGGTGCTTGAGGGATTTCCCCGCAGCGAGACCAGTCTTTCGCTCTTGGGGTCAACCAGAGCTGGGGCTCATGACAGTTCCTGCTGCCCGTCGCTCGACCAGGCTGTGGAGCCGATGCAAGGCCTGCCACGCATGCGAGTACAATGATCGGCTCGACCCTGATCAGCCGCAATGCCCTCGCTGCAGTCGGCCCATGCGCCTTCATCGAGGCCGCTCTCGCTCGCCCAGTGTGGTGCGCATCAACGAGCACGCCGAGGTCATCGCGATCGACGGGAACACCAGCCAGCGCGGAGGCGGCCGAGGCGGCTCCCGCGCGCGTGGCGACCGCAGCGGCAATCATGGCAGTGACGATCCTCTCGCCGTACACCTGCGGCAGGCCGTCGCCGCCGCTGACGACCCACAGATTAAGGGCGTTCTGCAGGCGCAGCTCGCGCGCCTCGACGCCGTCGCCGATGAGGGACCACCCCGTGGATCGGTCGTCGAGAGCATGCGGCAGGCCGATGGCGCCTGGCGCGCTGCGGTCAATCGGCACACGCAGATTGTGAATAATGTGATCAAGCTCCGTGCCAGCTTGGCAGCGGCTGAGGCCAAGGAGGCCGAGGCCGCTCTGCAGGTGGCCAAGACGGAGGCGATGAAGAAGAAAGCGGCTGAGGCACTGGCCAAGGCCGAGGGGGTCCAAGGGCCCGAGGGCGGTGGCGTCGCGCAGCACGACAGCCAGGCCGCCTTCACCGTGTCCTGGGACCAGGACCTCTTCGCCGAGGCTGCCGACCTCGACTTCGCCGAGGGCGAGAAGGCCGAGCTCGAGCGGGTCAAGGCAGCCCTCGAGGACCTGAAGAAGCAGTTCGACACGAAGGAGCCGCAGGTCAAGGCGCTGATCGAGCGGGCCCGCACGGTCCGCAAGGCGCAGGAGGAGCGGCTCAAGAAGAAGCGCAAGGGCGGCGACGGCCAGGCCACGCCCCCTGCTGCTGGCGAGGGCGAGCGCACGGGCGCCGAGGGCGGCGGTGCGAGCCCAGGAGCGGGCCCCACAGCTGCCGACGGCGGCGGCGCCGCGGCGTCAGCCGCTGCCGCGGCCGATGAGGGGGCGCTGAAGACCGAGGCGGCGCGGCTGTCGGCGGCGCGCTTCGCGGCCCAGACGGCGCTCGGCAAGGGCAAGGACGGCAAGGGCGGCGGCAGTCAGGCTCGGGCCGCCTCGCATTGACTAGATGGAGATCTTCGGCAAGACGGGGCTCCCGGCCCCGAGGCTGCCGTCGCTGGCAGCAACAGTACCCGTACAAGTACCTTGCTCTACGGCAACGTCACCTGCATGGGCGACAAGTGCTGGGAGTACATCAGTAGTCGACAGGACGACTACATCGGGCTCGTCGAGACGCACATCTCTGCAGCTGATGTGGGCAGCTGGCGGTCTCGTGCGAGAAAGGAGTGCATGAAGCTGATAGCCAACCCAGCGCGGCCATCGCGGCATGGGCATCCTGATGGGTGGACTGGTGATTCGTCCGAATCGTCCGCAGGACATGCCAACGAGGGCGGCCAGTGGTTTCTGGCCAAGGGTCACTTGCAGACGCACGTGCTCCATGAGGGCATCCAATCCGCGGCGCTGCAGGCCAAGCCGTCCACCAGCGTTGATGGCTTTCTGCCAGTAGTGCTGCACTTTAGTGGCTACTCAATTGTAGTGATATTTTTCTATGGGTTTTGTAGTATAGGCCTCACTGGCCCAAACCTCGTCAGATTTAGACGGCTCGGCAGTCTTTTGAGATCCCTCCAACTTCCCTGGGCCGTGGTCGGGGACTGGAACATTTCGCCACAGGCCCTCACGGCCTCAGGGTTTTTGCAGCAAGTAGGAGGCGAGATCAGATGTGCCGATGTCGAGCACACTTGCGATCCTGGGGGAGGGCGTAAGCCATCGCATTTGGACTTTGTTGTGCACTGCGCAGCTGCTCGTGCATATGTCTCTCAGGTCACGGCGGTCCACGACGTGCCGTGGAAGCCACATCTCGCTTTAAGAATTCGTTTCGTCGCTGAGGGTGAACAGTTGCTCACACGCATTGTAGACCTTCCCAGGCGGCTCCCGAGTGTCACTCGTCCTGCCCAGGCTCCCACCCCAGGCTCCAAGTCTAGCTTAGCGAGAGCCAAGAGGACCGAGCAGGCTGCAAAGGCAGCCGAACGTAAAGATAAACTTCACTCTGCCTTAGTCGGAGATTTGTGGACGGCCACTGCTAACCCTGAGCTCGATGGCCAGTCCACTTGTGCTGATGATCCGTCAGACTGCGAGTCCCAGGATGGTTTCGAATCCGAGGAGGACCCGTGGATCGACGAAAGTGTTTTTCAGTGTCGTCGCGAGCCGCTGGCCGACCCAGTCCAGGCGCCGAGCGATGAGAAAGACCAACCTTCGGCCCTCGCCTCCCCCCCTCCTCCCGAGCCTGCCCGCATCGACGTCGCATCGTCTCACTCAGCCCAGTGTGAGAACCCCCACAGACCTGCTGAATCCCAGGGGACGGAGTCGGCCAGCACAGGTAGCACCCAGCAGCCTAGCTTCGATATCCCGAGTGAATTGTGGACGGAACACCGTTTTCAAATAGGTCTTCTGCCCCCCCACTCCACTCGGCCTGCCGCTGCTGCTGCCTCGTCCGTTGCCTTTTCGCTCAAGCCTGACGCCTCGTGTCAGCTCGGGCAGCTTTACGGCTCCTGGGCGGCCATTGTTGAGGCCACCGTCCACGCGCACCATAGTCAGGTCTTCCTCGGCGGCTCGCGCGCTGCAGGTCCCGAGTTCAGAGTAGCACCCGTTCGTGAACAGCAGAGTAAGAGGTGTGCGGCACTCCGAGATCTCAGCAGCTCGTGGTGGACCAGATTGCACACCATCCTTCAGAACATCTACCGTCACAAGGCGCGGGGCAACGGGCAGCGGCAGCTGGACCAGCTCTACGCGTGTGTCGACAAGCTCACGGCCGACGTACCCCGTCAGGCACCAGGCCACCTTCGACCACGGGACGGTGCACGGTGGGAACAGTGGGTCGACATCCTCGGCCGTATCCGCACCGCCGCCGACACCGAGGTCGTCTCCTACACCAGCAAGGCCGCTGCTGTCGCGCGTCGCGCACAACAGCGGGCAGTCAGGAAGTCACTCCACGACTTCCGCGAGTGGGCTGTCACGGAGCCTGCCATCGGAGCGCTGCATCGATCTCTGCGGCCACAGCCGCAGCCTGCAGAGTCCGTCTCCACCGAGCAGGGCACCATCGTCCACCCACGCGACTTGATAGATCGGAAGGTCAGCTCCTGGACGTCGCTGTGGGCGCTGAGGGCCCCCGATAGGGCCGGCCTGGCTGACCTCTTCGAGGCCATTCGGCGACGCGTCCAGGAACGTGGCCTGCCACCGCTTACGGCGCGCGACGTGCGCCGTGGGCTCAGACGGCAGCGAGCGTCCACTGCGATGGGGGCCGATCGGCTCAGGCCGACCGACCTTCTTCGGCTACCAGACGCTGCGCTGGAGGAGCTTGCCACCATCCTCAACCTGGCCGAGCAGACCCAGGCATGGCCACATCAACTCCTGCTCACGCTGGGAGTCATGAGGGCCAAGAAGGATGGCGGCGATCGCATCATCGGACTTTTACCTGAGGTGGCGAGGCTGTGGTCTATGTGCCGCGAGGATGCAGTCCAGGAGTGGAACAAGGACTGCTTCGCCCACTGGGACGCCGCAGCCAAAGGGAATTCGGCCCTGCGCGAGGCGTACCAGCGCGCCTTGCAGGAGGAGCTCGCTGCGTACGTCCAGGTCTCCCAGGCCCACGGCTTGCTGGACGTCGCGCAGTTTTATGATAGTATAGATTGGTGTCGACTCGGGGAGGAGGCGCTGGAGGTTGACTTCCCTGCCGAGGTCCTAGGCCTCGAGATTCTCCAGTGCACGGCGCCTCGCATCCTCACGCAGAGCGGTGCATGCGCGCTGGGCATCTTCCCCAGTCGCTCTGTGGTGCAAGGCCTGAGGTCAGGCACCAGGTTCGCCAAGGTGATGACCTTCAGGGCTCTCAAGAAGGTCACGGAGGTTCACTGGCGGCACACGCACCGCATATGGATCGACGACCTCTCCCAGCGCATGCAGGGCTCGCGGCGCGCCTTACGGAAGGACATGGTGAGGTGCCTCACCGACACGTGCGAGGAGCTGGCCGAGAGGGGCCTCACCATCGCCAAGAAGAGCGTCATCATCTGCTCTGAGATGGATGACGCGAAGTACATAGCTCGAGCCATGAAAAGACGTGGCTACCCCATCCAGTACAAGAGTCAGGCCAGCTACCTGGGCACGGACCTCGGCGCGGGGACACGGCATGCTCGGGCCAACCGCACTCAGCGGCGAGCACGGCATGGCCTCATGCATCGGAAGATCGTACGGTTGGCTCGGGCTACCCGAAGATACCGTGTCACAAGCCGGCTTGCCCAACAGGGCGGGCAGGCTGCGGGAGCGTACGGCCACCAACTCCATGGCGTGTACGGCACATCTTTGACGCTGTTCCGACGGCGACTTGGCGACGCCATCGGCCCGCGCCTCCCTGGACGTTGTCTGACCACCCTCCTTGACCTCAAGGCAGGAGCTCGTGACCCAGCTCGGCGATTCCCACGAGAGGCCGTACAAGCATGGTTGGAGCATTGGGTGCAGGCTGGGCCGCTACAGAAAACAATGCAATTCACGTGGCGCAAGGTTGTCGACAACTTTCGCGCTATGCCAGTTCAGCATCGTGTCCGACACGTACGAGGACCTCAGTCCGCCCTCGTGCTCTACCTACTTGAGAATGGCTGGGACCCTGTAGCACCCAACGAGTGGCGGTTGCCAGTGGCGCTGGCAGACGGCACCGACACATGGGAGTTCAAGACGGAGGCACTGTCAGGGATACCCGCTGTAGA